TTGGACCTTTATTATCGCATAAACGATGAAAGTCGATATGCGTACATCCATCACATATGCGTACATCCATCACGACTCCCTCGTAGTAACAGTTTCAATTGAATTGAATTGTTTTTATGATTATCATCTTGTTCTTTAATCCAGTCAATTATTTTAGAGGTCTGATTCTGCGTAAGAATTGAAGTGAAAGTGCGAACTGGGTATAAGGTAGCATTATGTTCTTCACTTCCTGGAACCAAATGATGATGCAATAAATCTTTATAAAGTGTTCCTGGCAAAATATCGGCATATGGCAACACTTTATTATAAAAATCAACCGAATTGATGTGGAAGAAACGAATCAATGGTAAACAATTTTCGAGCGTGCACTTGAGTTGTTTGAATTCGTTCTGTGTCCATTTTTCCGCTGGAATCGTCAAATCAATTTCGCCAGCATCTGCAGTTTGAGAGATTCCCCATTCAAGCACCTTTTCCCAAAGGCTGATTTCATCTAAATTTAGATGGTCACGTTTAAGTAGAGAAACTAGCGCTGATTCATGTAACTTGGCAAAATCAGTTGACTGAAAAATAACAGCTGGGTTTTGACATGTGATGTCTGTGCAAAATTCGTGAAGTTTAGTAAAAGAGTTATGCTCGAATGAAATTTGGTTGATTAAGGCAAAACTCTCTGTTAAAGATTTAGAGTGGTATTCGAGAAGATAGGTTTGGATATATTCAATCAATTCCTCAAGAATCAACTCATCGGCTGCGACTAATAAATCCAAAAGTGTCGAAACACCATGATTTTGTAAATCAATTTTTCCGCTGTAAATATATCTATTAAATTTTAACCCAGACAAATTTCATTATTACTTTCATAATATGTATTGTTTCATTTTTTATATGAAATTACCTTAACAATATTTCAAAAACTCGAGGTTCAATATTCGGTTTCTTAAAGATAATCATCTTATTTGGTTCTCGCTTCACCCATGTATCAGAAAGGGCTACCGCAAAATATTGTGACTGCGCCACTAATATTGCCGAGTGGGCTGAAAAAGTACGTTGAGTATTCTGATTTTCACCAACAATAATCGAAATATCATAATAGTTGGAATTCCGATAGAACTTATCAAGTCTGTTTAAGTGTGAAGTTAATAACAAGTCGGGTGTCATATTTTATCTGATTAGTTTTCTACTCTGGATGTGCTTACAGTAAGTACATGTATATTGGAAATCGATTTTATCAATGCTCGATACGTACTGTAACGATAAGACTACATGTGCATGCACGTATGTATATCTAAATGGGAAATGCGAATGTACCAGTACCGGTACAATAAAACAAAAAATTTCTATTGGTTCAGTAAAATGACAATAAAAAGTTCAAAATCATGATAAAGTAATAATGATAACGATAGTAATGCATTACAGTTAAACCTCAATATATTGTGGTGGGAGATAATTAGTAAAAGTATTGTTGTATCGGGAATTTATCATAAAAATCGTCATAACGAGAGAAATTTTATTAGAAGTGTTCTTGGATTTTCATCGTTATATCGAGGTTTAACGTAATTAGTCATCGTTATAACGAAGCATCGGTATATCGAAGTTTGACTGTAACGGTAATTGATTAATAAGATCATGAAATTTTCGAACAATGCTAAAATGATGATAGCATCACAAGTAATAGCAATAATAATACAATAGAAAACATTTCATCTAGAGCAGCAAACTGTCTTTTTTTATCCATTCTCCTGGATATCTGTTGGCAAACAACAACGACACCACTTGAGATCGATATTACTGCGCATTAAATACATTTATGGTGGTATTAATAAACATCTTGATCCGTACAAACGATAAAAAAATTAGCTTTCGCACATCATCATTATCATGCATTACTAGCAACACTAGCGAAAATTAGTAAAATTCAAAAATACGCAACAATAAAACGCGCTCTTATAAAAATTATATTCAATCTTGATATTTGTTTCTAAACTGAATTAATTATCCAATTCTATTATTGACGAATCAAACTTTGTTTTGTTTTTTCTCTTTTTTTCATATTGTACATTTTTCATAGAAGAAATGAATTCAAGTTAATTAGCGTTTCTAAATTGAAACTCGATTCGGTTTGAGCATTGTAAAGCAAGTTCAAATGAATTAGTAAGTCTACTGACGTTTGCTGTTGCATAGATCCAAAGAAAAATCTGTATATGCAACATTTAACGCCAAAAAGTAAGAGTTTGAAAGAGAAAGATGAATTATAATTGCTATCTTTTATTATTTAAGAGAAAAATTCGGTTGCCTCGCCTCGTTACACATTAAACGAGGAGACAATTTATATTTATTCATTAGTTATCACTAGAGGTGCAAACTTTCCTAAGTAATCTTCTTGCGTCTATCAATAATTAATAGCTGCCTAGTTACGCTTATACTAAGTTATTTCATTAATATGTCACTGGATGCCATACATTGACATGGTACTTTCTCATATGTGATCTTCTCTATCTCAAATAGTGATTGAAACCGGGTCGGGTACAACCGGGTCAACCCAGATGGGTCGAATATCCGGGTTGTGATCATAGTCACCCGGGTGAATATGGGTGGGTCAACCCACGGGTCAAACCCATCAGTTATCCCGTTGATTAGTTCACCATTGATTCATTTACACTGTCATATGAATCGACCCAATGAAATGTGTTATATGGTCACGATCATGGCAAAAATCATGGATGAAATAATTATTAGTAATGATGACGCGCATTAAGATCGAAGTAACTAGTCATAAGATGTGACTTCGTTCATGGGAATCACGTTGGGTGTGCGAAATTCGTAGATCAAATTTTTATAATATCGATTATTATCGTTATCGTTATTGCATGTATTTACGAAACAAATATTATATGAGTCTAACCGCAATAATTCATAATTTAACGGGTAGTATTCTTACTGGGTGACCCAGGTCGCATTTTTTTGAACGGGTCCAATCACTAATCTCAAATAAATTTGTGGCTTTAGCTTCAATTTTTGAAATATTGTCATTGGCTTCTGTCTTGACATTTTAAAGGAAGGCATACTTATTGCATTTTAAAGGAAAGCATGCTTATTGTATTTTCATTGTAAATGTTAATCGTAATCTAAGCCTTAACCAGATATCTCGATAAATTTCTTTCATTTTGCCTCTGGTTTAGCAAGATTCATTGTACATTGTATTATGTCAATAAGAAGTCACAAAAGGCATGAACACCTAGCTCGGTCGTGTGATTGCAGGTTGCCAGAAGTAATCAGTTCTTAACTTTTCTTGTTATTGAAGACAGGGGCGGGTCAATTTTAAACACTGGTGGTACTAAAGATGACTAAACTATTTTTGAATTGGTTAATTGATTTGAGGCTTAATTAAAGATAAAGTTTTTCCAGAAGAGGATACTTTAAGGAGTGATATATGTGGTATTGTCATTTAAGACTCATAGGAAGACATTCATGTGATTGGCTAATTTATGTCGATCCCAACATGATTATTGACCAATCAAATCAATCAAAGAAATCAGCGTTACTCTATATACATGTATATTTTAAATAGTAATACTATTCTATTTTCAGTCATCACTATTTTTATCAGACACATTACAACCCTTGACCTATATTATAATTAAACAACACTACTGGTATTTATTACATTACTCAACAAGCTTAACTTTTATTTAGATTTAAAGATTATAAAGTAAATGATATATGTATATAAAGCTTTTTCTTTAAGATTAAACTTACATTATAAATCTTGTTTTTTTCGTTGACTGTTTTTAGTATACTAGTATATATATAGAGTTGGTAATAGTAATAAATAGGATATTCTTTTGCATAGTGAATATTAACGTTCGTTTAAAGTTAGAAATGGGTTTTACGGTGATTTTTTATTAGTGAAACGTGACTTCTCAAAAAAGTACCTTAATTATTACATGTATATCAGAATGTTGAAAGCCATGATATCAATGTTCAGTTCACCTTTTCTTACAGTGCAAGACTCCTTAACAAAATTATTCACACAAAAATTAATATAGTTGGAAAACAATTTTTAATCGTAAAAATATATAAAAGAATAAATAGAATAAAGTTACGAAAACTGTTTGTTAATTGGTTAAATTTTAGCAAAGTTGAATCGATCTAAAGTTCTAATTTTACTAGTAAATTTGCTTGTTTAAGGTGTCTTGCACTGTACAATTTTTAAATTTGTACAATAAACTGATTCGCAAATATGTAGTATTATTCTTTTTGAGATTTGTAATTTAATCATCAGTTTAATCAAGCCTTTCTTAATTGTTTCTTAGAATCTGTGTTTAGAATAATCTAATATCAAGGAATCAATGCATTTAACGCATCAAGATTCATAAGCTTATCTTTTGAATAGTGAGAATTATATATTAATTTATGAAAAACCCTTCCTATAAAATGCTATTTATAAATTTTATTTTTTAGATGTTTTAAATTTCTAACCAAATAACAGATTATATTAAAAATTCAAATGCAAACATAGAACTATTATTATAATTATATGTTATAATCATGTTTGTGTTTCTAAAAAGTTCATTCGACTTCACCAAGCCAGGATGACCATCGCGTTTGCGGGCCACATAATAATGTAATTTTTGATGATATCAGCAATGGTGATCAATTAAAGTACGTATAATAATAACATAAAATTCAAATTAAACTAAAAAAAGCTTATATCTCAAAATCTTGCCTATGAAACTATCTTTTGTATTCTAGTAAAATTAGTGTAAAACAATACTACAAGTATAAAAAACACATTGATTAACTGCATTTTTAAGGCATATAATGTTGTTTTACTAATGAAAGTGTAAACCAACATAGGATTTGTAGAACAACACATTCAAAAACTTCTTGATGCTAGTCACATTTCTCTATATTCACTCAATTTGATTTGGCTAAAAATTTAATACTATAAATTGGATAAAGAAAATATTATATTTCAGCTGAATGATGATTGCAACTAAAATATGGCAATAATCACACTCTCGGAGCCAAAAAATGTGGATGGAGGTCAAATTTTCTATACTTTATAATAGTTGAAACTGGAAAAAGGATATTTGTAGAGAGATTGACTATATAGAGCATAACTGTATCGCTATTAATATTATCGTTCTAGTTGTATTTGTTTACTTAGAATTTGATTTTTGTTCAAGAGTTTAATTTGCAGATAAATTCTGCCTCTTTTTTTTGTGTGAAGTATTTGTAAAGAATATAACTGGCTATTGCTACAGTGCGGGTCACTTAGTCACCACACAAAAAATTAACTTCAAATCATATCAGCGCCCTCAAAATTAATAGTTTATTGACTACTCTATAATATTACATATTTTTTCACTGGAAAAGTTCTGATTGTTGAGTTAATAGGTCTTAAAGATTTGGCCAATTGTGGTAACTAAGTGATGTGCACTATATAATTGAAACGAATAAAATGTTTTTAATTTTCAAAGATTAACGAAGGAAAATTCTACATGTATAAGGATGATGTTTTTCTCAATTGGTAGACAGTATTTTTAAACTTCAGATATGAAAAACATTCACAAACGTTAATACTAATTGAGCTAGCACGTATTAATTCTTTATCTGAAATTAAATTATATCAAGTCAAATCAAATACATGTATACGTACGTATTCACGAGAATACAGTATGATGCATTATCTCAAAAAGGATCTATTGCAAGCAAAATGCACTTTAATGACAATAGTGATGGAAATAGCACTTGTAGATAATTGTTAATTTTCTTTTCGTAAGCTATAATTAATTTCGATATCTATGTAAAATGTCCAAATTATTTTTAGCAGCCGTAATTTCTTATAGATCGATCTATTTTAATAAAGCGACAGCCAAATTAATTACAGCGTTTGCAGAAATTAATAGCGATACCCATTTACGTATAATTGTGACGAATGCAGCATGCAATCCATCTAAGTATATCACGAACTGATACGTACATGTATAATGTATAATGTACGTGTAGTTATTGAAAGGCTAAATAATTATCGTTATTGTTTCTTTTGGAAAAAAAAGCAATCAAGAGTCCTAATATAGCTGTCTATGAAAGGAGAAGTGCAGCAATGCTATCATTCAAAATTCCTCGGTATGAAGAAAGTATGTTTCCTTTTATTACATTTTTGTGTGATCATTAGCAGCTATGTTAAATATACATGTAGTATCAAATAATAGAGATTACATTAATTTTTCTTTTTAAACAAGAAAACGAGTTTGTTTATAGAACTACGTATACCACCTCGTGCAGTGTCAATCACAAACAAATTTCTATGGATCAAATGTCATATAAGTAGCCAAACAACAATTCATAACGATAGTGATAGAATTGAAAAATAAGTAAATTAAGTGTCAGCCAAAATGAAAAGATTATTTGTATTTTGTTTATTTTTATTCTTATTCTGCATTTTAACAAAAACAATCGCTTCTCCACACAACAAGGTCCAAAGTATGTAAACTTTATAATTAATTGTTAAAATTTTTATTTTGCAACGGTATCAAGTTGATCTAATAATTATGACTAAATAGATATCGATATATATATAACGGAAATGTAAGTAATGGAAACTGGAGCGGAAATGTAAATAATTCTCCCGCAACAACTACCACCACAAACATTCCAATTCCAACAACAGCACAACCCACAGCTCCATCTCAAATACCACAACCTTCTCCATCTCAACTATTATTACCACCAACAGCACAACTACAATCTTCATCTCCAAAACTTTCTTCCTCACCTCAACAAACACAATCTTCATCTCAGCAACCGCCATCAACAACACAAACAATATCTCAGTATAGTCAGAATGGTGATGGTAATAGTGGTGGTCAACAATCACTACCACCACCATCATTGCCATCAACAGTACAACCTTTAGCTGGAGATCGGCCTGTAGGCAACATTCCCGCAGTTACTAATAACCCTATTAGTTATGGAAATACAATTACAGGCAACAGTCCCACAATTCCTAATAAATCAATTAGTATTGCAAATCCAATCAATCTATCTCCTACATCTAGTACAAATGCAAATCAAAGTTCAAATTTATCGAATATTCTTCCAGAACTTCCTTCACCTACTCATAGTGCACCAAGGTAAATTCGTAATAATTGTTTTTATATATAGCATATTTCATTATTTTGATATATGTCTTACTAATACTTTTCCCGAATAGTCCACCATATACAAATTCCCTAGCAAGTCCTACATATCCATCTAACCAACAAACTAGCGGGAATGGAAGCATTTCAAATTCACCAACGGACCAACTTAGCACGCTTGCACAGTCAAACAGTAACGGCAATTATCATAATACAGTAAGCTCACTTACAGAGTCGAGTAACATCATACGCACTCCTAATTCAATAATTTTAGTTGTACCGCCAAGCAGTAACAACAACTCTCTTAGTAGAGTAAGCTCGCCAATTTCAAAAGCAACTGAAAGTTCAAGTGAAAGTACAAATTCAAGCAAAGCTTCGAGTTCGAGTGTTTCGACGAAATTAACAAGTAAAACATCTGCAACAACTTTAAAAGCAACTGAAAGTTCAAGTGATAATACAAATTCAAGCAAAGCTTCGAGTTCGAGTGTTTCGACGAAATCAACAAGTAAAACATCTGCAACAACTACAGAAAATAGTACAAGTAGTCCCTCACCCAATACTGGATCTTTTCCAAATGTTAACAGAAATTCAGAAGTTATATTAATAATAACTTGGGTTTTTTGCTTTATAATAGGTATATTTTTTAACTTAGGATACTAATCGTAATGCACTACTGTGTATACAAATTGGGTCGATATATACGAAATTCTAGATTTTCGTTGTTTCGTTAAACTAGCTGAGAACAATAATTTAAATTACATTTTATTTCTCGAATATAATTCTTTTTTATTTGTTTTGTTTTGCTTTCTAAAATCTAATGACGATAAATTAACCGAATTGAAGCGGGAACTTTTATCCGCTTGTAAATTTTATTTAATTTGAAAGTCATCAATCTTACTACACGCACTAAATTGGCAGTAAATTTCTGGGGTACGAAAGTAAATTTTTCCAATCAAAACAATAATAATAAGATTCAATTGTTCCGTTATAATTTGTTATTCATATAAAAGTTGACGTCTATGTACGAATTCAGAGTAGCACAGTTAATTCTAAACATCATTCATTATATTTCTGGCTTCACGAATCAAAGATAATCTGAGTTTATTTTGCAATAAAAATTTTTCAAAGAATAATGCTGAGCGATTAAAAATTCAAAGCGAGATTTCGGAAATGCTAAATTAATTTGGATTCACCGAACTTATCATAATTGGGCGAAATTACAGATAAATACGTAACGGTAACCGGCGAAAATAATGGCAGTGTGAATACACTTTGGTTTTTTGGTGTAGCATTCACATTTGCCCCCGGTTGGTATACATGTACATGTATTTATTTATTACGTGTACCAAATTGGAGGATGCGTTAAATTGGAGTAATCACGTGTAAATAGACCAATCCAATTGTTAAGATTCTATGCAAAATTCAAAAAAAACGAAAAATTGCAAATAACTCCAAATTTTACTATTGCAACTAACTTTCAACCTCTAAGTAAAAATGCTTAGCGCAGGTCAAAAGTAAATTTTTGATTCAAGTTTGTCTTGTCAAAACAGCGAATGTTTTGTACACAGCCACATATCTGAAGTTTGATGGAACTCGGCAATGGAAATTAAATCTTCTCAGATAATCAAATTATTTAATCCATTCAATACTGAAAAATTTTAAGCATTTCTATCAACGAAAAATTCAATGTTTAATCTAATTATTTGGCAAATCTTCGGATTAATAGCTTTATTATATCATTTAAGTTTATAATGTAGGGATAGGAATCGATGTAATAAGGATAATGATTTTCACTTGTGCAAAACATGCAATATTGATAATATAAAGTTTAATAACTCTGATATGATACTAATGCCAAAAATAATCTAACTTTGAATGATATTTATGAAACAATAGAAATACAGTGGCTCACACATGTAACGGAACATGAAAATTAATTTACTAGGATTTTTATTTCCATGACTATTAGTTCGAACAAAATAAAAGTTTTTTAAAAATAATTTAGCAACAGATTATTTTGTGAAATAAAGTGATTTAAATCAAAATGTACAATTAGTAGATTTCTCACATTGAAGAACTTTTTTCTATGACAGATTCAAATTTGGCCACTAATTAAAAATGTTCTACTCTATAAAAAATCTACCTATTTATCAATTTTCATAAAAATCAGCTTAGTTTATATAGATATTTAAGATCCTAAAAACTGAATTAATGCTTCTAACATAGATTCGGTCCTTCAGAGTCTCAAATCTTGGTAAATTGGTAGATTTTATAGAGTAGAACATTTTTAATTAGTGGTCAAATTTAACCTATCATAGAAAAAAGTTCTTCAATGTGAGAAATCTACTAATTGTACATTTTGATTTAAATCACTTTATTTCACAAAATATCTGTTGCTAAATTATTTTTAAAAAACTTTTATTTTGTTCGAACTAATAGTCATGGAAATAAAAATCCCAGTAAGTTAATTTTCATGTTCCGTTACATGTGTGAGCCACTGTACATGCAATGAAACGGATACGGAACCTCCATCTGAGGACAATACTTCAATTGCTTCTATATCAACTTTACCACGTAGTATTTCCACGAATTCAACTAATCAAAGCATAATTTCAACTAATCAAAATACAAATTCAACTATTCCAACGAAAAGGGGAAAAAATCAATAAGCAATGAAAACAAAACCAAAGACCAGTTATGTCATCGCTTGCTTGAGAATCGATTCCTATCCTTATACCCAATTCTTTCACAACTTGCACGCAAAATATTTGACAATTCCTGCCACATCAGTTCCATCTGAATGTCTATTTTCAAATGTGGGAAACTTAATTTCACCTGAACAAAATCGATTAAATAGCTGTTTGGTAGAACAAATTATGTTTATTAAAAGAAACCGAATTTGTATAAATTTTCCCAATGCTAATAAATAAAAATTGATTAATAATAAATTTCGTTTTTTAGTAATAAAACAATACGTATATAGTATATCAATAACATACCGCATGCTAAAAAATATTCACGCTTGTAAGATGCGCGAGAGACTAGCTAATTTGTTTTTGCTTTGCAAAATTAATCATTCGGGAAGGATATATCGATCACCTTTACCACGCGAATCATGAGATTCTTTTACAGGCTACTGATATAAAAACATGCTTTGTCTCAGTGGTCTGGCCTAAGATACAGAATAATCCACAGCGCAACCATTCACAACGCGAAAACGCACGTAATTCCAAACAAATATAATGCGTAATCTCCAAGCAAAAAAAACATAATTTTCCAGCAGGCTCATATAATTCCAAAATAGGAATCAAGCCAACGCATAATCTATAATCGCAAAATCTTAGCCGTACTAGCTTCGTTATTATCCCAATAATCACGCAAATTACTTTATGTTGATCCAAATGCTATTCTCTTCATCATAACCAGATACAATTCTGGAAAACAACTCAACGCGAAAATGACCACAAATCGTACGGCGCGTCAAAGAAGCGCATGTAACAAACAATCGATCAAAAAAACTCATCGAACGAGACTATAAATCAGACATATCCTCTTGGATTGTTTCGCAGGCCATTTGTGGGCGAGTCAAATCCCAAATATTGCGATATCCACACGGATTCTGAACACTTATTTTATTATATTTATGTGGGTTGGGCATAAGTTCGAAAAGATAGTGGATGGGATAAATAGAAATCTGAAAAATAATTTCCGCTCGATTCTGAGCTTAGCTAAATATAGATCTTCTTTAGTATTTGCAAAGACCCCAAAGTATAGGAGCATCTATCTTTGCTTCGCAAAAGGCTTAGGGACCGAGCGTGTGGACATAATTCCATCAGGTCCTTCCTTGCAAGGTCTTCATATTTGCTCGTAGTAAATAATGTATGAATCAAAATAAAGTGACGATTGATGACACATGATAAATACCCTAGCCATGGCGAAGAAAAATGTACGGACACGTGATTTCCGAATCACTGAAAATTATCCGAACAGATAATCGATGTATAACAGGCGAGATCATGTGACTTACGACCATTTCTACTCAAATGATTTTTTCGGCCTTAAAATCATATCACCGAGATAATATCACCAAAAATATTGATTTTACAATGCTCATTTTTGCAATAATAATAGCGAGGAATTTATTTGGGTTCAAAGTGTTATATATAGAATACATTCAAAAAAACCAATACTAGTTTTAGAAAAAATAATCATAACATCGATTAATATAGTACAATAAATTCAAAATCTTAAATTAAACTCTTAGTATCCTTAGTCTCTTGCCCGAAGTTAAAAATCTTAAAATCAATCTTTATTATTCTTAAAGTCTCTTGCCCGAAGCTCAAATCTTTATTATCTTCTCGCCCGAAACTAAAAGCCTTAAATCAATCCTTATAATCTTGAAAACCCAATTTTTGATTCAAAAAAGTATAAAACTTGACTTATAAAATCAAATTATTAATTAATAAACTTCTAAACATCTAAAAAAAGAAATTGGAACAAAAATATGTATCTGTTGCAAACCTATAAGGATAAACTTGAATTCTGTCAACCCAAAGCCAATAATCCACAGCATGAATACGCTACTTGCAATAATTGCTCTATAAGATTGAAAAATAAATGTAAAACCAAGTATCGTTATATCGAGAATTTATTATTTTATTAAAGTGTTTTTTGTATATCGAGATTTATTAGTCATCGTTATAACGCGCGGACCAGTATATCGAGTTTGAGCTTATCGATATCTACATAATTCATTAGAGCACTTTTATGCTCTTTTAACATAATGATAACAATAAAACGGAAGTTCTAACACACAAGCAGTATTTGACGCAGAAATCAACTTCCACGTTTATTTACCCATCATTTCAAAGTTTTAAATAAAACACTGATTCTATTAATTGAACTCAAAGGTGATTTCTAAAATTTCGAATTCTCACCATTGTAGTGAATGCGTCTTTTATCGGGTACGGGATTACAATAAGTGTTCGGATCGCAATACTCATGATTGTATTAAAATTTTCAAAATGAGTTGAGCAATTTGTTGCTGTGACAAAGGTGGGGTCATAGAGAAAATAAATTAAACGATTTGATAAATATGAATTTGCGTTGAAATTATTACACAATTCAAAGCAAATTACATTAGAAAAATGAACAATTTCTTAAGTGAAAGATGATGTTTTTTATTTCCTAATACAATCAAATGTTAATATATTCTGACTCTTAAATGTTGCAAATATATCAATTCCAACTATGTGTACGAACAATTGAATTGGAGCAAGAGATTTACAGAGTACGGTACTTTCTTATGTTGTCCAGAAATATTAATGTAGTGTTATACATGTACATTATGAATGTCCAAGGTCTTTTTGAGACTACCTGTCCCGTCCAAGGATGTCCCAATTCCTATTTAACTTGAAAACTTCTATTGAAAATACACAAATATATGCAAAACGAGTTTCTGGACATTTTTAATTAGCCAATCAAAATAGGGTTTTATAATAAACATTTGTGTTATTTGTATTTTTTCTGTCTCAAAATTGTCACGACTTTGTTCAAGATGTCTCCTGATTAAATAGAAAAGCCATACATCAAAGCTACAAGTGTTTATAATGTAATAAATAAATGATCATTTGGTGAGGAAAGTCATAGCAATTATTATGCGTTAGACATTTACGTCCTAAGTTACCAAATAATGTACCCGAATCGTGCAAATTTATTATTGAAAATACCGGGATCCAATTCCTTAACAGAATAACTGCTAGGGAAGTTCACAAATTTCTCTACTCGGTCTACCAAGACGACTATATCAAGGAGGATGAGGAATCGAATACATTGCATTTTCAGTATTACAATTCTTTAGAATATTCTATCTCATTTTAGCAGTATTACAAATTTTTAGAATATTCTAAAACACATGAAGAATGACTTAATTACAAAGTTAAAAAAAGTAAAAAGAACTTGAAAAAGATGAAAAAATTCATCAAATGCAGTTTGAATACTGAACATGTACATTGTTACCATTTTAACAAAAATTTCACAATTCTATAATTTCTATGATATCACAAATTATGGTGTATCATAATTTTATTCAATGATATTCATATTAATTTGATCTTTTATTTGATATTACATAACCAAATTTAATATGTATTTATTTGACATTATACAATCACATTTAATATAAAATTTGTAAATATTACTTCATTTTTAATTGATAATTAAATAATTATCAACAAATTATATTTTTGCATACTTTAATATTTATTTTCACTTTTCTTCTCATCCTTTATTTTTCTTTCTTGAATTAATCTTTTTGTTATTGATACATTCTATATTTATCCCCAACAAAAATCTTTTTAATTTGAATTTTATTATCTTAAACCAATTATATATTATTATTTATCTTATTTTTATATTCATTACTATTTCTATTTTTATTTTGTATTTCTTTATAATTTATTTTGTATTGTTCAATTTTTCTTTAGAGTCTTTCTTTTTATTATGATCTTATAATTTTTCTTATCTTTAACCACTAAAATTCACATTAAATTTTAATTATATTTTATTTTTTATCATTTTGTGTGATTTATCATTTATTTTTTAGTTTTTGTTTTCCTTTAATATAATTCAATATTATCTGTAAATAGTGATATAGATTAGAATATTTATTAATTATGTAAATTAAAAAAATTATTAAAAATATATAAAAGAAAAGTTTTTCATTACTAAAAACTCTTATATTTTAATTTAATAAAAATAATAAAGTTCTTACTTGTAGTATTATACTTGTAAATATATTATTATTTTTCTGAACATTTTTAAATCTTAATTCCAAGTAATGAATGCTTTTTTATACTAAATATATTATTAACTTTATTATTTTTTTATTGGAATATATTGGGTAGCAAAAACAAATTGAGCAGTTTTATATTTCTTCTTTTTGGTATCTTTCTCAGAGTTACAAGTTTGTTTACTAATTATTAAATTAGCTTACAAACTTAAATCTGAATTAGAAGAGAATAATAGATTAATAAAAAAGAAAGATATCTAAGACCTATATTAATTTTTACAGATATTATGTTTACTTAAAAAAATAATAATATAAAAGAGTTATAAAAAAGTAAAGATCAAAGAAAAAAAGAATATAAAAGAATAAAAAGCAAAAAAATAGTAAAAGAAGTTTAAAAAACTAATTTTTTGTACTTATATAAAGCTTTCAGAGCTAAAATAATATAATTAATAATAATAATAACAAAGACACTTTTATTTTGTTCTTCTCACAGTGAGAAATATTTATTAATATTCAAAAATTCAAATAACAAAAATTAAAATATTTAAAATCCAATTCCAATAATTCTAATATAGCAATTTGTTTAATATAATATGATATAAAATTTGATAATTCAATAATAGTAATTTGTTTAGCACAATATAATATAAAGCTCAAAATCAATAATATTAATTTGTTCAGTGCAATATAATATAAAACTATCAGTGATTTATTAAATATAATATAATATAAGATTACTTATATACAAGTTTTAAAGTATATAAAGAAAATATGAAAGATGAGAAGTATTTGAAAAAAGATTTTTATTAAGAAAAATTTTTATTTTCAGTAATAATATTTTGAATTAAGACTCAGATGACACCTTTATTTATATAATTTTCAAAATACAATTTCAAATAATAATAACTATCTAAGAGATAAAATAACTAATTAAAAAAATAAAAAAATAAAATAAAAGATAAGGTAAAAGATAAAAAGTAAAAAGTAAAACAAAGAAAAATAAAGAATAAAAAGTAAAATAAAAGATAATAAAAGATAAAATAAAAGATAAAATGTAAAATAATTTGAGAAATTTTTGCTATTATATGAATATTTTATGTTTTTCAACTATTTTTGAAATTAATAGTTTTTATATTGCTATTATAATATTATTTTAATTTTATTATTTTTAAATTATATTAATAAGTTCTGATTATTTATTTGTTATTTTATTTTTTCTTTATTGATATTTTCAATAAGTTTAATTATTATTTTATTTTAAATATTCTTATTAAGTTTTATTATTTCTTTAATAGATATTATATTTTTATTTTAGTTTTTTATTTATTTTATTTAATTCATTACTTTGCTTCTATTTTTATTTTTAATTTGTATATAAGCTATTATAGAAGCTTTTTAACTTTAAATTATATTATAGTTCTCAAAATAATTCAGAAAATTAGAAAATATATAAATTAATAATTTACTGATTACTTTATAATATTATATATTTTTTGACTGAAAAAGTTCAGATAGTTAAGTTAATAGATTTTTAAAATTGATCAATTATAATAACTAATATTTATTTATTTTTTTATTTTTGATTTTTTATAATTTATATATATAGTTAATACAAAAAGTAATAGCAATCATATTTTTCACTAAAATTCATTAATAATTTAATAAAAAATTATTCAAATATCGTAAAAATTTGGTATTATATTTTTTAGAATAATAGAAACAAAATTTCTAAAATTATAAAGCATATTATTATAGTAATATTTTGTGAAATCACATGTAAAAGATAACAGATCGGAGAGTTACCCAGTTAAAAAACTATAAAAAATTATTTATAAATATTTTTAAAAGCAAATTTGAAAATAATTTTATAAAAATATATTTATATCTTTAAAAAATTTTTAGTTAATATTTATTAAATGTTTTATTTTTTTAATATATATTCAATAAATATTAACTGAAATTTTTTTAAATTGCAAATATATTTTCTATATTTTTTTAATATATTTCTATAAATTTTTTTCACACTTGCTTATTAAAAATATTTTTTAATAATTTTTTATAAATCTTTAACCAGGATAACCCTTCAATTTTTCACCTTTAGCACATAATTCCACGAATTATTACTATGTTAGCATGCTTTGTGATCTTAGAAATTTTGTTTTCATCATTTTAAAGAATATAATACCAAATATTCATGAATTTTTAGCAAATTTTTTTTATTAAATTATAGATAAAAAATATGTTGTTATTATCTGTTAAATATTAATTATTTATTTTTATATTTATCAATCACAAATTTTTAATTGTAATCAGAAATAATATATAATACTTACTAATTAACTAGATTTATATAGTAAAATTACTATAAAATATTTAGTATTTGTAATACTCCAACTGGATTGGATTCAATTTGTAATCCAATCAGAAATACATGAATTAAACAAAAATTTGTTGATATATTATATACACAATTACATTTCGAATAACCCTATTTAGACACAAAATAAAAGTTATTAATGAAAAACTTTTTTATGATTTTCAAATTAAATTCAATCTGAATTTGATTCAACCTGAAATTATCAGTTCGAGTTAATTTCAAATCTGATCTGAATTATCAGTTCAGATTGATCTTAAATCTGACCCGAATAGAGCTTTATTTAAAATTTTATTTTATAATATATATAAATAAGACTATATATTCTAGAAATATTAATATTTAATAAATTTTTTTTAATATTAATATAATAATTTATTTATTAAAATTTCCAAAGATTAATTTTTTTACTTTTTTTAAATATTTTAAGAAATAATTAGTATTTTAAGCCAATTTTTTGGAATTAGCTAGATAAATTAGGAAAACAATTTGTTTAGTGGGCAGAAACTGATTTAATAATGTAGTTTTCGAATTATTAAGTTTTGTTTAGTAGCAACTTCAACTGAACTGTTTGTAAAAAATCTTTAATATTTCAAAAACTTTATTAAGAAACTGGTTTTAGAGTATTATAAAAAAGTGTTTAGCCAATCGATTTACAATTACCATAAAATTTCAGAGAAGTAAACATTTTCTGTTATTTTTAATATTAATTTAAACATCAATTATTCATTACTTTTCGGGGGAGCCTGAAATTTGTATTGAGCTTATCATAATATTGTTATTAAAATTATTAATTTAATATTTGTTATTGATTAGTCAATTGATAATTTTATTATTTAACAAAGTAAAAGAATCTTTGTTATTTTAATAATATTATATTTTTTAGCTCTGAAATGTACTATACTAATATTTCTCTACATATTTATTCTCTTTCAAACTATATAATTTCAGTAAAAATTTATATAAAATCTAGATATCTATTATTTATATAACACACTAGACTTTGATTAGAATTAGACCAATTCCATTTTTGACTGTAGTTATTATAATAATAATATTATTGTTGGCATAGAATAAACTTGTTTGGAGTTAGTGATAATTATGAATTGGATTTTTAGAATTAGTTTTCTTGATGTTTTGAGTGATCTCAATCATGTTTGTTAACATTCCATTAGTTGTTTTCTGGCTAAAGTTCTTTTGATATATCTGGATATAATATTTGTTAGGATATTGACTTTCTGAATTCACTTTCTTTAGGAGTTTGATGAATTTGTTAATACATGTATATTATATACATTGACAATTCCAGTTTGTCATAATATTTTCCACTTGTTCTGCCATTAATTCTGCATTTAAAATCATATTTGTCATGGTAATCATTCTCCCAATTGGGTAACTCGATATTATTGTTTCTTGCTTATTTGTCATACCATATAGCTGCAGGTTCTTCTAATCACTTGAATTCTGTATTGGATGATAATTGCATTGACCTGCGCTGCAACTTCAAATTCTTTCAACTATTTGACTGGATCCTGATCATTGCCTCAGAACTGGTTGATCATTTTAGTTTGTGAGAGCTTGGACGAGTTATTAAGTACGTTGCTCATGTTTATACGTTTGTTTTTATCATTTATCATCTCATTTTTTTTTTCTAATACTTGATCTTGATATTTGTTTGTTTCAAAATTTTCTTCACTTCGTATAATGATTTTTTGTGACTCCTCTTATTACTGGGTTTCATATCTAATTCTGTTCCACAAGCAGCTTATTAGGGCTGCAATGAGCTTAAAATAATATTCTTTATGAGTTGAAGTATCCATAGAGGGGCACCAAAATGTTGCATTATCTTCGATATTTAGTAAAAGGGTTTATTTCATGATGAGTGGAGGCACCAGATTACAATAATCAATCAATTCAAGGAACTTTTAGCAACGAAAGTGAGAGATAAACTGAATTATTTACAGTCAGAGAGTTTCTTCAGGTGTTTTAAAGACTCCCCATGATGACTTGTCCACAAATTGGCCTTTTCAACAATAAGGGATATATGGAAAGGGAAATAAAATATTTTCACTCTTGTGATAAGAATCAAATCGTTTTAATAAAATCGTGTTTATTCAATAATCGAAAACGTTTACAAATATGACAGGTCTTATTGATACGGCCTATCTAAAAAAAAATGAAACTAATTCAACAGGGCTTATTGATACAGCCTGTACAAAGAAAACAAAATCAATTTGACAGGACTTATTGATACGGCTGTCCAAAGCAACAATTTAAAGAAAATCAACGGCTTATTTAGAGTGGAGGAGCATCCACTACTTGTAATTACTCACAAGGTTTGAAGTTTGATCAAGAAAAATAAAATAATAGTGTATTCACAAGTAGCAATATTATTATGAGTAAGAACTTTGTAATTTTATTAGATTAAAGCATGATCAAAGTATGTCTTCTCAGAGACTCAAAGATGCTTCTATATACAATTCCGAATTACTATGCTAATTCTAAGATTACTTTACATTAATGGTTTCTCCTGAAATTACCAAAAATAATTGTTTAATGTCTTTCAATTGTCCAAACAATTGTCGAGATAATTGTCTTCCTTTTGATAATCACTATTGTTGCGTGTGTTAATAATCGTTCGATGGTCCAGGATTCACGATATTTGTCGTCCTTTCGACAATCACTATCGTTACATGCGTTAATCTTGAAGAACAACGGGATATTCATAATACGTATAGGAAAAAAAGGTAATGTCCATTCATAATGAAATATTTCTAAATTTAGCTTTCAATGTAAATCGCACAAGAAACTACATGTAATTACGTATGTACATGTACATGTATTGTGTAGGTTACGTATTGTGGAAAGATATTCATGTAGTCAAAATTATGGAATTAAAAGGATTTAATGTTACGTACTTCGGTAACAGTACAACTTCAAGGCGCGATGAACATCGACATTCGTTCCTATACTGTAGAAAATATATCTGCCAAATTCCACTTTTCCTGTTCGTCACCCACCTCTGTACTTTTTGTTCAGCTCGTAGGTACCCTTTAGATGCTTTTTGCAGGTCGAAATGAGTACCGAACGATTTATTATAAAAGAATCCTAATAGGCATGCAATCGCGATTTTCGTAAGCAACTTTTAGGTGCACAAAGATTCTCTATGTCGAGAGAATACACTCTTGCAAATGTTTTATCATGCTCGCCTGAGTTTGTGATTGACAAGAATTGTTCTGTTCCTTCCTCATAAGTTTTATAATTATCTCTTATATTCTCGACCAGTCTTGGGAATGACTGATCAATAAAATCGATAATTTATTCTTTATAAAAAATTTTCATTCGCACTAGTTTTATTTTTATAAAAGCAGTAAAATCTATACACCATATGTGCAAAATTTCATTATTCTTAATGCTCTGTTTGCACGCATCCCAATTTTTTCGCCTCCAGATACAACTTCAAAGCGTGATGAACATCAACATTCGTTCCTGTACCTTGTAAAAACATATCTGCTAAATCACATTTTTCCAGTTCGTCACCCACCTCTGCACTTTTAGAGTACCAATAAAGCGCATACCTATGATTTCTCTTTACGTGAATTCCATACAAATAACAGAATCCAAGGTTGGATTTCCCCTCACTACAACCGTTATCCGCAGACTTTTGATACCAGTAGAAAGCTTTCTCATCATTTACTTGGGTGCCGATTCCATTCTGATAAAAATATCCAACCTGATTTTGACTGAATGCGCCATTATGTTCAGCAGCTCGTAAATACCATTTAAATGCTTTTTGTGGGTGACTCAATGTACCGAAAGAATGATGGTAAAAGAATCCTAGTAGACATGCGTAATCATAGTTTTTACGAGCAAGTTTTTTAAGGTGCCCAAAGATTTGAATTTTGGTGAATTCTTTGTGCTTAAAGAAGTTGAGAATACATTCTTTTAAGTGTTCGTCCTGCCCACCAGGATTTGTGATCGAAGAGAACGCTTTCAATAGCTCTTTCAAAACATTTGAGAAATAATGTTCGTCGTGATTTTCACCACCCAGGTTTTCATTGTTCATTACGACTATTGTTCTTAACGTTCTGAAAAATGATGCAAATTTTCGATTCTAGAATAAAAAAAGATAAATTGTTTATTTGCCATATCGATATTAAGAAGTATTAGTATTTATTATTATTCTACCTTTTATGTTGCACCACAAAATAACTGACAAGTTACATGTAATAAATACAGATATTTAATTTTGTAACAGTTGATTCATGTAAATACAACAAAGACTCGTGTGTATTCTTTTCAAATTGCATGTATTCGTTGCACGTGGTGTAAATTTGATTGCATCGGTAGGATACAAATCAAAAATTAATATTTCAATTACGACAGATAAAATTACTATTACGTAAATAGAAAAATTTTTTACTTGATTTGCGATTTTATGGAAGATACATGTATAACTTTAGTGAAAGTCCGGTGCAAAAAGATTTGCACCTCAAATAATTATTTTTTAAAAATAAAATTTTAATTTTGTCTTATTTAATTAAGTTATTGGATATTAGAATTAATTAAAAGAGATATATATTTCATCAAAAAAATTTTTACTACATGTAGTAATAAGTTTTTTTGAATTCTTATTTCATAAATTACTATATAATAAACTTAATTTTGCAATAACTATTAATTTAATCTTTATGAAATTTAAAATTTATTTTATCAATATATAACAATGTGCATAATTTAAAGTTCCAATATTGCAAATTAATAAAATAATGCTTGAATATATTTTTAAAAAAAAAATAATTTTTTATTTTATTTTAGAAAAGTATTACTTCATTTCTTATTATATAAAATTGCAAAAGAATAATGAAAATAATTAATTTAAATTATTCTTAGTGTAAAAAAATTAGAGTTTAGTTAAATTTTTATTAGAAGCAATTATTAATTTTAATTTGAGGTGCAAATCTTTTTGCACTGGACCATATCAATAATTTCGATCTTTGTTATAAAATTTCTATATTTTCATCCAGGTCAACCTTTTTTCTTTGTCAGGATTTTTTCATAAGTTAAAATTTAAGTGGCAAACGAAATTTTTATTATAACAATTGTAAATCAATTTGATATGATAACGATAATAACATTACGTAATGCAAAGTTGCAAATGAGCGCATTATTATATATAACGATAATTCTCCAAAAAGATATCATATAATTGCTTTTTTGAATACTCCGTATATCCACAATCAAATGCCCGCCGATACCAATATATTGCTTGATGTTTGTCCGCTGATCCACTAAACCCATCATGAAAAGAATTCGCATAATTATATTTCCCCACTTGATAACTTCCAGCTACAGATTTTCGATAACAAAGCAATGCTTTATATTTATCTGGTCGTGTTCCGATTCCTAGTTGATAGCAGTATCCAAGTTCATTTGCCGCGTTTAGATTTCCAAGATCAAAAGCATTTTTGTACCAGTCAAATGCTTTTTTATCATCCTTTTCAACACCGCGTCCTTCTCTGTAGAGAAACGCAAGTTGGAGTTGGGCGTCGGTGTTTCCTATATTTGCTGATTTTTGGTATAGTCTGAATGCTTCTCCTTCATTTTGTTTTACTCCATGTCCGTATTGATAACAATAAGCGAGATTGTATAGTCCATAACTATAATTTTTTTCCGCACTTTTTCTATACCAATAGACGGCTATATTTAAATCTTGAGCCACTCCATGTCCATTCATATAACAATTTCCAATATTACATTGCGACCCGGCTTCCGCTGATTTCATATAATAACTAAGCGCTTTATCGATGTCAGCTTTTACACCAACACCTTTTTCATAACATTGTCCCAACCAACCCAATCCCAGCGCATAACCACCATCAGCCGAACGTTGAAACCAATAAAAAGCCTTTTCTGGGTTCTTGCGTGTTCCCACCCCCTTATAAAAACACGATCCTGCTTGATTCGCGGCAACCGGATCCCCCTGTTCCGCAGCAATCAAATAATATCGAAACATTTCAAATTTATCAATTTTAGTTCCTATTCCCAGGCAATACATAAATGCCAAAAGCGTTTTGTAGTCTGTTTCGTCGTTACTTCGTTCATATATCATTTTGAATACTTGTGGTGGTGGTTCATTGTGTGTTTTGAACCATTCATTTACTTCTACTTCTATTACTCGATCATCTTCGTAGTCGTCACATCCTTTTTTGTATATTTCAAGTAGTTCCTTTGATAAATCTCTTTTAAAAGTTGTATCTAATATCATTTTATCTTATTGAATAGAATATTTATAACGTAATTTTTAGACTCTGAAGTATAAAATACGTTTCTTTTGTACTCGAATAAAATTGATTCATGTACGTACGTATCGTCGATGTCTACTACGTCGCTAAAACTGCGATTAATGACAATTATGGATTGGTGGCACAACACACAAATGACGAATTAAAATTTGTACATGTACAACCCCCTATAGTCACACTGTCGGGCCCAGTAGCGGTAGTAATTTTTTTCATGAATGTGATTATAGCGGGTTTTATAATGAATGTGCTTAGCGAGGTGTTTTTATTATACGTAACTGGTTCTTGAAAAAAGGGTGATTATCGTTATACATGTACATTGTAGCGGTAACGGGTTTGAACTGTATACGTATGCATACGTATCGATATACATGTACATGCATGTACATGTATTTTGCATTTATGTATACGTACGTACATAGCGATAGTCCTAAATTATGTATTTTTACCTTACATCACCTAATTTTTATTATGTTACGTAGAAGTTTATTTTTATCCCTCCATACAATCAAGCGCTGCTAGCTGTCACGCTATAGATTTAATTAGCTAATTAAAGAAATTGTACTGCTTTTTGTTGGCTCGAATAAATCATTTCTTGTAGTATTATAAAAATTGTTAGAATCTTATAATTTTAAAATCATATTCTTTAAATGTGTGCTTAAATGCTTTTTTTAAATATCTCAAAATACATGAGAGTTTATAAACGAGGTAAAAATCTAAAATGTAAACAAGTTACTCTGATTCAATCAAGCTTTTCAAAAATAGATTCAGATTACATTTACATTAAAATGCATTACGAAACTTGTATTTAATACTAAAAGTCAGCTACAAATATCAGTGGGCCGAAAAAAATTCACAGAAAAACTTGTGCATCACACTGCAAATATATTAAGGCTTTCATTATTGGTCCAGCAGATCGAGTACGCAAACGTTATCGTTATACTTTTAATATCAATTTGATGTCTTAAAGTTATTTACGCGCAAAAAAACAAAGAAAGAAACATGAATCTTAATATTATATCTTGACCGGCATTAATAATAATCTATTCGAAGATCTCGTATAACGCTTAACAGGTAACCCACACCCTTTTAACCAAAAAAAAATTAAAAAAATAAAAGAAGAAAGAAGAAAGAAAAGAAAAATCATCAATGTAATCATCAACATCAGCAACATCAGCATCAACATCAGCATCAACATTAGCATCAACATCAGCATCAACTCAGAATCAACTCAGCATCAGCATCATCATCAATCATTATCATCAATGATATCATTGTGATCAAAGATCGATTTTTCCCCTATTTTACCCCTCCCCTCTCACTTTGCAAAATTGTGGGTTTTTCAGATGCTATCTGAAAAATTCTGCACATTCGGTTAATGTTAATTAACATCATCAAAGACATTTTGTGAACTAATTAATCTAATTAATTATTTGGTTTAGCTTGAATACTGAACCAATAGTAAAACTTGGACTTGTTACAAATAAGATAAGATTGCTTGCTAAAACCTATATTAAAATATTATGTACAAGTTTTACAATGCCAAGACTATATTAAATTTTATCAACAAATATCAAATTTGATGCCTTGGCAAGCAACTTTAGTGACAAGCCTATCGAACTGAAAAATACATAATAGTTCAATATTATTTTTTTGATTTACCGTTATACTACTAATATCCCTATAGATTTTTACTTTTAATACACTGATCTATGATAAATTATTACTTATTAAAATTACCAATCAACTAAATAATAACTTGATTTACTTTAAAATCACTCATAAGTATATGAAATTATTATTATTTGGATCTTATTATGCAAGTTATAAATCTCTTTTAACTATTCAATATAAAAAAGTTATGCAAAGAAAAGAAAAACTGGAATAATATCACCAAATTGTGTGATCAGATGAGTCAAGATTTTCTCTTTTTCATTCAGATGAGCATGCAAGAGTATAACAAAAATTCTTTGAAAAAAAACTTAAAAAATTGTGTGATTTCAACTAAGAATGCTTGTCTAAACTCTTTTAGAAAAATATTATCATAATTTTGACAGATTGCATATTAATTGTTAATTAGAATTTTGACATAATTTTAGTTACAACAGGTTTTAAAATTTGTCAGAATTTCAATAGGCTATTTATTAATAGTTTATTATAATTTCAATAGAATTTTAACAGTCACTAAGAAATTTTAGCAAGCAACCTTAATTTCAATAGTAAAATTTGATGTATTAGTGATAATATTTTATGAATGTATTGAATGAAATGGTGTTGAATCTATGATAAAAATTAATAACAAACTCAATACTAATGTTCTTTCTGTCCTATTTTATATTATAGTTATTGGTGAATGTAAATACACATAATTTTCATTTTAGAATGAATTGTCCAAAGTTCTGATTTAAATTCAATTAGACAAAAATGTCTTATATTAAATTTATCCAGTCACATAAATTAAATAATATTTGAAGTATAAAAAATATATTAACAAATATTATTTCAGATCATACTTTCAAAAAATAATTATACTTACCAGCCTATTTATATTGTGAAAATTATAATAAAATTAAAAATATATATTATTGGTAGCTATAAAAAATAATATTTCTATATCTATAAATACTAATATATCTTTTAATTTAATCATGATGAATAACACAAGAATTCTGAAATTATTTGAAAACTTAGAGAGTGATCTCTCTTGATTGATATTTACTCAACTTGTAATAAATTGAAAAAGCAATATTATCTCAATATATACAAGAAGAAAATATTAAAAATAAAATTGGATATATTAAATATAATAAACCAAAAGAAGTTTCAGCTACTGAACTTTTTTATTTAATCTATTAACAAAACTCTCCAGAATAATAACTACAACTTGTCAAGCTTGAATTTATTAATGTCAACTATATAAAGACTGTTTTATTTTCTGTAATTTAACTTATTGTAATAATTGCATATAATCAGAACAAATAGTTATTGATCAACTATTCTTGAAAATTAATAAAGATAAAGAATTCATATATTCAAAAATTAAAGAAGAAAAATTCATTTAAGAAATCAATCAATATATTATTGAATCAGATAAACTATTAGAAAAAATTAAAAATATTAAAGTCATATCTCTCTAAATATTAATTTACAAGATATACTTAATGAAATCTACTAAATGTATAATAAAGTTCAAAACAAGATTAATCAAATAAAAAGTAATATAATATTATAGTAATAACAGTAATTTTATAAATTTAAAGAAAATTCTGAATTCAAAAAATAATTAAAAATATTAAAAATCTCTAAAAAATAATAAACTCTAAGAAATAATAAAAATAATTTATTGAATATTTTTATTTTATTATTATTTTTCATTTATTTACTATTATTATTATTTATTACTTTTTATTATTTTTTATTAATTTTTCATTATTTTTCATTATTTTTCATCACTTTTCTTCATTATTATTATTTATTTTATTATTTGTTATTTCTTTTTATTTTTTATCATTTTATTATTGATTAAATAGTTATTATTATTTAAAATTATATTTTTGAGAAATATATAAATAGATGTGCTATTTGAGTCTTAACTCAATATATTATAACTAAAAATAAAAATCTTTTTTAACAAAAATCTTCTTTCAAATACTTTCTATCTCTCATATTTTCTTTATATACTTCAAATCTTGTTTATACGTAGTCTTATCATATTGTATCTAACAAATTACTAATGGTTTATATTATATTATACTAAGCAAATCACTATTATTAACTTTGAACTTTAGATTATATTGTACCAAACAAATCACTATTATTGAATTATTGAACTTTATATTGTATTGTACTGAACAAAATTATTATATTAGAATTATTAAATTAAATTATAAGTATTTTATTTTTTAATATTTGAATTTTTAATTATTCCTTATTTGTGTGAAGAACAAAGTGAAAGAGTCTTTATTATTATTATTACTAATTATATTGTCTTAGCTCTGAAAAGCTTTATACAAGTATAGAGTAATGTTTCTATAAATTGAACTAAACCAGACTTTTATCTGGATTTGAGTTCAGTTTAAAATTCAAACTGAACTCAAACTAAACTTTAACTTGAGTTCAAGAAAGATTCAAAGTTCAAACTCAACTCAAACTGAACTATTATACAAGGTTGAGTCTGGCTCAAGTTTGATTAAATTTTAGCATATAGTATCATATACTGATTTGTAGCTCTAAATATAAGCTATAACTTTAATATTTTTACTTATAAGTACAATTTATAGTATTTAATAAGAATTAAAAGTTAAATATAGTGATAACTAAAGTATTTTTATTTTTATGTTTATTAAATTTAATTGTAATTATTATATAATTCTCTGAATAATTATTATTAATAATAACTATCTTATATTAATTTGTAGCTCTTATTTTTGATTATTGTTATCGTAGTAACATAAATTTCTCTAATTCGATAATCTTTCCTTGATTATGCGAAATTCCCTTTTTCTTAATTTTTATAATTTATCACCTGATTATCATTATTTTTATCCAATCGTATA